AGATGGGGTTAAAGATGGAGACTTTGCAACTTGTGATTGAAAAGGGAAGATACGGAAATTGAAAGTGAGGTTGTTGCACCTAACAGAGATTGTAATCACGATTGTGGCAGAGAAGGTTGCTGCAGCACTGGTGGTGGAAATGGGAGTTATGACCATGGCCGCAGCAGTTGTTGTGGAAATCAGGAATACGGTGGTAGCAGCAGAAGCCATGAAAGGAAAAAAATGCTTGAAGTCATGAAATACTGCTAAGAGAAGAAACTGACGAACAAAAGAAATCAAAATGCAAACCAAATTGTTGCTGAAGTTTTCCAAACTTTGATGTTCTGGGATTTGTAAACAATTTTTTTGATAACCGTTGATGTTCGGGACAGTTTGCGCGCATCTCGACTAATTACACGGGGCCCTGAAGTTTACGGCCGGATACTCACCTCAGTGGCCTTGAGGGGACTCGAATTGGTGACCATTGAGGAGCAAACCCAAAGCCTGACCAATTGAGCAACCTCTCAAAGTTCTGGGATTTGTAAAATTTGGAAACTTAATTCTCAGATTTCTATAGTGAAGAAATTATAACTCAGAAAAAGAGATGATACCTTTTTCACATAGTTTTGCATTTGAAAAAGAGATGAAATATTTAGGGAAAGAAAGAATATCTGTAATCTTTATTAAGCACTAGGTGATAGAACCAATCTAAAGAAAAAACTTGTAAAAACACAAACATGGAAAATATAATATCACTAAGCCATTTTTTTATTTTTTGATGACTCAGGTGTCCGAACTTCGCCCGACTAATCCTGAATAGTGCCAGCCTTTCCCCCTGGTTCGCCACCCGGGTAAATCCGATGCGGTCACAGCATATACACACTTGGGCCGAACATTCGGGAAGCGGTTTTGCTCCCCGTGGATTACTAAGCCATTTTTCTTCAGACATTACCTTGTGAATGGCAAGTTAAATAGAAAAGAGAGAAAAAAGATAATCATATTACCCCACACCAATCACAACCAACTCCAGGGTGAAACTTTGGCCTATGGCCAGACAGCCATGATAAATAAGCATTTCTAGGCAACGATGAACGCTTCGTCGCTTGCTCCCGCTTTCCAGTGGTACCTGATGGCAATAGTAAAGTATAAAAGGAGAAAGCCAAACATATAGTGATATTGATTTAACATCAAAATCAGATGACAGTTATATACGGG